TTATTTGATATGTAGAACTTTTTATCTTGTTCTTAGCAGATGAATGATCTAAGAAACGTTTCTTTGCTTCTGTGGTTTTCTGGTTTCTATGTTTCAGACACCTCGGTGCAACTTCTTGCCATATTCTGGTATGGAGAATGTAAATCCAGAAGAGATACCTCAGTCGGAATCGTCTTTATCATCTATAGGCATCCATGCTACTGTTGAAGTTCCAAAAGTTTCAACTAGTAATGGAACAGACCAACTCGATAATCATTTGTTGGTAATGGAAAACTCTTTACGAAATGCATCTGATGATCCGATTAAGGCACAAGAAGAGCATACAACAAATAGTGCAACATCAATTTCATCAACTGAAATTGATCAAACTGAGAAAGATAATCAGGGTAGACTGATGGAAGATTATATGACTCGGGGAATACAGGATGGTTCAGATAAACAGATATCTCAAAAGACTGGTTCTGTTGGCATTTCGCATATTCATGTTGAGGACGGATGTGCTCTTTCTACTGCTTCCAATCCAAAGATTGAAGATTTTGAAAATGGCCATTTAGCATCTCCTGGAGAGATTTCTTCACCCCCTGTAGATGTCAACGGGGTTGCTGTTGATCAAACTGAGAAAGATAATCAGGCTATCCTGAAGGAAGAATACAAGACTCATGATGGTTCAGATGAACAAATATCTCAAAAGAATGGTTCTGTTGGCATTTCACATATGCATGTCGACGGAAGTGCTCTTCCTACTACTTCCAAACCAAAGATTGGAGATTTTGAAAATGACCATTTAGCATCTCCTGCTGAGATTTCTTTACCCCCTGTAGATGTCAACGGGGTTGGTTTTGATGGTACCGAGAAAGATAATCAGGGTAGACTGATGGAAGATTCTAAGACTCAGGGAATACATGAAGTTTCAGATGAACAGATATCTCAAAAGACCGGTTCTGTTAGCATTTCGCATATACATGTCGAGGACCGAAGTGCTCTTCCTACTGCTTCCAATCCAACGATTGGAGATTTTGAAAATGGCCATTTAACATTTCCTAGTGAGATTTCTTTAACCCTTGTAGATGTCAACGGGGTTGCTGTTGATCAAACTGAGAAAGATAACCAGGGTAGACTGATGGAAGATTCTAAGACGTGGGGGATACATGACGTTTCAGATGAGCAGATATCTCAAAAGACTGGTTCTGTTGGCATTTCGCATATTCATGTTCAGGACGGAAGTGCTCTTCCTACTGCTTCCAATCCAAAGATCGGAGATTTTGTAGATGGCCGTTTAACATCTCCTGCTGAGATTTCTTTACCCCCTGTAGATGTCAACGGGGTTTCTTTCGGTGAAACGGAGAAAGATAGTCAGGGTAAACTGATGGAAGATTCTAAGACTCGGGGAATACATAATGGTTCAGATGAACAGATATCTGAAAAGACAGATTCTGTTGGCATTTCACATATTCATGTCGAGGACGGAAGTGCTCTTCCTACTGCTTCCAATCCAAAGATTGGAGATTTTGAAAATGGCCATTTAGCATCTCCTAGTGAGATTTCTTTACCCCCTGTAGATGTCAACGGGGTTGCTTTTGGATCAAGAAACTGCGTTTTTGATGGACAACAATCTAAAAATGTTCATTCTGCTTCCTTTGAATCCCAAAGCAATCACCATGTGATGCCACCCAACTGTTCGACTCAGCCTCATCTTATGGTCGCCACTGTTGCAGCTGGATTCTCACAAGATACTTTGGACGGACAGCGAAGTCAAGACACTGCTTCTGTTAGTAGTTCTCAGGATCTGATTGGTAGCAATATTTCCTCCTCCCCCAAGGTCCATTATTCAAAGGCAGGAGATGCCGAAAATGGTGTTCGTGTACCTCAAATGGATAATCATAGCTTAAGTCGTCTAAAAATTCTAAGTTCTACTGATGAATCCACAAGATCTGATGGTGCTAAACTCTGGAAGCGAATTGATCCAAGCAGAATTCATATCGATACGGCTGCACCTTTCGATTCAGTTAAACAAGCTGTTTCCAAGTTTGGAGAGGTTGCTGATTGGAAAGCTCATAGAAAGCAAGCTGTGGAGGTATATTAGTTAATTTTAAAGTATAACCTATTCTTATGAAAACATATTGTTGTTTATGATGATTTTTGTTATGTCTTTAATGACCATTATAATTGTTTCCTCTTGTCTAACTATAGAGACGCAAGTTCGTAGAACGACACCTCGATAAAATGCAACAGGATATACCTGAATACAAGAAACAGTTAGAAGATGTTGAAGAGGCAAAGGTGGAAGTGTTAAAGGAGTTAGAGAGCACAAAGAGACAGATAGAAGAGCTCAAACTAAGCCTCGAGAAAGCTCAAATTGAAGAGAATGAAGCAAAACAAGACTCAGAACTGGCCAACCTCAGGGTTCAGGAGATGCAACAAGGGATTGCTAATGAGGCTAGTGTTGCAGCAAAGGCACAACTTGAAGTCGCTAAAGCCAGGCATGCGTATGCAGTTTCGGAGCTGAAATCCGTCAATGAAGAGTTGGAAACACTAAGAAAAGAGTATAGTTCTTTGATCACAGAGAGAGATATTGCTGTTCAGAAAGCTGAAGAGGCAGTTTCTGCTTCGAAAGAGGTTGAGAAGACGGTGGAAATTTTTAGTATTGATAAGAAGATAAGAAGATTGGAGCAGTCATGGCCCGAGAGCAAGACACTTTCTATTGGGAAAAGGAAGTAAAGCAGGCCGAAGAGGAGCTCCAGAATCTCAATCGGCAAATCCAGTCAACCAAGGATCTGAAATTAAAGCTAGACACTGCTTCAGCTTTACTAGTTGATTTGAAAACCGAATTAGCTGATTATATTGAAAACAAACATAAAAGGGAAACCGATGGAGACTCGCACGATGATATACTAGATGCAGTGGATGCGGCAAAGAAGGAACTTGAAAAGGTGAAGCTCAAAATCGAGAAAGCGACTGCAGAAGTGGATTGTTTGAAGGTGACAGCTGATTCATTAAAATCAGAACTTGAAAAGGAAAAGTCTGCTCTTGCCACCCTTAAGCAGAGAGAAGGAATGGCATCTGTTGTCGTTGCTTCTTTGGAAGCTGAACTGGACAAGTCTCACTCAGAAATAGCTGTGGTCCAGGCTAAGAAAAAAGAGACCAGAGAGAAAATGGAGGAGCTCCCGGAACAACTGCAAAAAGCAGCACAAGAGGCTGATGGGGCCAAGTCACTTGCTCAAATGGCACGTGAAGAGCTGTGCAAAGCAAAGGAAGAAGCGGACCAAGCACATGCTGCTGCAAGTACCATGTATAGTAGATTAGATGCAGCTCAAAAGGAGATGCAGGCTGCCAAGTGTTCACAGAAGTTTGCTTTAGCTGCTATCAAAGCATTGCGGCAGAGTGAATCAGTTCGAAGCACGGATAATGCTGATACACCTGCAGCAGGTGTTATCCTTCCAATAGATGATTACTATGAGCTCAGTAAACGTGCACATGAAGCAGAGGAACAAGCTACCTTGAGAGTGGAAGCTTTCATTTCTCAGATTGAGCAAGCTAAGCAATCCGAGTCAAGAAGCAAGAAAAAGCTTGAAGAAGTAAAGCGAGAGATGGCTCAAAGAAAGGAAACACTAAGATCCGCCATGGAGAAGGCTGAGAAAGCCAGGAAAGGTAAGTTAGCTACAGAACAGGACTTGAGAAAGTGGAGAGCTGAACACGGGAAGCAAAGAAAGGCATCCGAATCGAATATAGGAGGAAACTTTCCGACGGTAAGTGTAGAGGAAAAGCAAGAAAATGATGACTCTGAACCACTCCTTTCTGCTCCAGACAGCACTATAGAAAGCCCAAGGGCACAAATCGATGGGAACAAAACAGAAACTGAACAACCGTCCTCAGAAGCAAAGGCTGTGAAGAAAAAGAAAAGGGCATTGTTCCCAAAGATTTTCATGTTTTTTTCCAGAAAAAAGTCACCTAAGCCAAGTTCGCATTAGTAAGTGTTGAATGGAGTCCGGTTTCATCATTGCTGCTATGATTTTACCTCCATTTTTGTACTGCGGCTTCTTCTATAACACTCGACAGTTTTTTACTCACAGAGTGTAAATTTCAATCATTATTGATGAATGTTACTTTTTACTTTCCGGACAGGGTTTTGCGTAGGGGATAAATGAAAATTTTTGAGCTAGTGGATTAAATTTGTAAACTATAAAATCGAGTTGAATAAATTTATTTCAGCTAATTTAAATATTTAATTATTTTATAAAATCATAAAGTGCATCATGTAAAATTTTATGACTTGAAAATAAATAACTTTAGAATTTATTACAAAAATCAGAAATTGCACAAAAAATAATACTTATTTTTAATTAAAAAAATTAAACATCTCACAAATTCTTTTAATAATCGAATTATTAATCATCTAGTTAGATGATTAATCCGACCACTCAAAACCATTTTTTGCAAATTATCATATCACTATAAAAAACATAAACTGTATTTTATTATGCATGACCATATCTTTAAATTAACAAAGGTAGATATAAAATATAAAGTTGAATTATAAATTAAATTATATAATTTGAAACATATTTTGAATTTATTAAAATTACATAAATCTAACTATTTTGATTCCAGTAACCAAGTGGTAAAATTAGGTAGTTCTGTTATACGACGGCCTAACTTAAAGTTAAAGAAAGACGTAACCGAAAATATTAAAAAAATAATATTTTTAATTGAGCGTAACCTAAAATGTTAATCAGTTAAAGCTGAAAATATTATGAAAAATATAATATTTTTAGTTGTCAACAGAAAATATTAAAAATTAATATTTTTAGTTGAGTAAATATTAAAAATTAATATTATAAGTTATATTTAATAAAATATTAAATTTCTTTTTAATATTTACGATCGCGTCCTACTCTTAAATTAGAATCTCGTTACTTATAGGTTCCAAAAATATATTATGTGGACCAAACAAAAAAGAAAAGTACCTAGCTGGACAAATAGGCGGTCTTCTCGGTTCTTACTTCTCACCTTTTTTTTAATCAGCTAAGATAGTCCTTTCCAATGGCGAAACAGTAATGCGACCGTTAACTCTTCCGATTCTTTCAGCTGCTTCAATAACTCACTGACTCAATTTAACTCGTTATGGCTTCACTTCTCAAGCCCAACTTTCACCCTACCTTTATACCCATCACTTTCTCTTCCTCCTCCGTCATCTTATCTTCTCCGTGGCACCAAACGGTGTTGCTCCGGGTTCGGTTTTGCGCGCTGACCGCCGGTCCCGAAGGCGGGAGAATTGGAAGCCAGGAATCTCACAGTGCTGATTTGATGAGGAAGCCGACTATAGTGCCGGCGAAGGATAGTGGTGGAATTTCGGAAGAAGAGGAGGGTAGTGAGGGACAAAGAAATAGAGGTGAATGGACTGATTGGGAAGATAGGATTTTAGAGGACACCGTTCCTCTCGTTGGATTCGTTAGAATGATTCTTCATTCTGGAAAGTAAGTAATTTTAATTTTATAAACACTTCTTTTATTGTAATTTTGTAAATTTATTGCAGATATGGAAGTGGAGATAGATTAAGTACAGAGCACCAGAGAACTATTCTTGAGATGTTGCTTCCTTACCACCCGGAGGCCGAGAAGAAAATCGGATGTGGAATTGATTACATTACTGTATGTTTCTTTAGCTTTTTCTGGTTTCTAAGCACTGTAATTTATGAATAATTACAAGTTTGAACTAACCAATTTAAATAAGTTATACTAATATTTCTTCTTAAGATTTTTTGAGAGTTGTTGATTTTAGCTGCACATTTTAATTTTGTTCGAATGTAAAATCTTTTTCTTTTTTTCCTGAAAGGACTAAGACCAAATCAAGTTGCATAAATATAAATCTTAACACTAAAATTCTTCTTGACATTCCAATACACACACACACACACATGTATCATCCGTCTCCTTTTTTGCCTTGTTAACGTGGAAGCAAAATAGGCTACATGAATTCTTGCCTAGCTTTAGTTAGAAAGCTTATAGGTTAATCAATCATTGTAATTTCTATTTTCAATATTGAAGCTTTCTAATTTCTACTGGTAAAGCATTCTAGTTTTCTCCACTCTTTTGGTCTTTTAGTTTTCAAGTTTCATTTACGTGTATGGAGAAGTTCATCGCCTTAAGTAATGTTTTTTGTAATTGTATATCTTCATTGACTTTGTGCTTCTCAGTTCTTGATGAGATCATGCGGAAACTACTGCTACCTATGAGTTTCAATACCTATGGTTATGAGTGATCATGCGGTGGTTACATGCTATGAACTCAACCAGATCAACTCATGCTCGTTCTGATTTGTTGTAACTCTCGGGTTGATTTGTTATGAGGATATATTCATCAGTTTTCTTTTGATAAAAAAATGTTAAAATGTGCAATTGCAATTGTTTTTATCATCATTATGTAGTGGGGCAACCTATTCAATATTGAATTGAATTTCCCATCTCATTATTGATTAAGTTCTTTGCTCTATAAACATACAATACAAACCCTGGTAGTAAATTTTTCAACTAATGCTGCACATGATTATAGTTTTACCAAGGTGAGAACCTGATCTTGTTGCCCAAAATTATTTGTTAGACTTGCTCAGTTGCTCTTAAGTAACTAAAGTTTTGTTTGTGATTTACTCAAGTTAAATGGTACCATGTCCTGTTTGACCAACTTGATCAAGTAATGATGAACACTTCTCATATTTGGTTTACAGGTTGGTTACCATCCTGAGTTTGTAGGCTCAAGATGTTTGTTCATAGTTCGAAAAGATGGAGAACTAGTTGATTTTTCATACTGGAAATGCATCAAGGGTCTGATCAGAAAAAACTATCCTCTATATGCAGATAGCTTCATTCACAGACATTTTCGACTAAATAGACGGAGTTCATGAGGGTAATGCTCTGAACTTGTCTACCCATTTTATACCACTATGTTTTAAGGATCTTTTGAATTTTGTTCTTATTTTTTTGTAATATTTCATATTTATGATATCAGATAACATTTTATCCCATATGCAATGGGGTAAGGGGAGGTATGGTAGTAGGCTGCCCCCAACGCCAGGTTGAGGCAGCTTCCGAGGAAGACCTCCGGCAATCAGAAAATTAAAAATAAAGATAAAATGCAATGCATGTATAAATAAATAAATACATAGTTACATAGTTTCTAGAAAATCAATTTCTTAAAAGATTATAAAGGATTATGTTGAATGGATTGACTTGTAAGTGGTCTAAGGTTTAATGTGCATATATCCTTAATTCTAGGTACCTCTATCAAGTAATAGGATTTTTCCATTTTTCTTGTTTGCTCCCCTACTGTTCTCTCTCTACAAACATAAACACTCCTATAGGCACGCTTATATACTGCTCTGACTACCAAACTATATTAACAGTTCACGTTGAACACAAGTGTAGAGTAATTATCATGTTTCATTGTTTAAGTGAGTTTAGATTCAGGGCCGGCCTTGAGCCTAGGCGGGGAGTGTGACCGCCTAGGGCCCAGATATGGAGGGGGCCCATTTTTTTTAAAAATAATTTCTAAATTTTTAAATTTTAATAATTAAAAAAATATTTTTATATAATTTATTGAATAATTATATAGGTAATATATAATAATAAAAATGGATCCACCATTATTCTTATTTTATTCAATTACCCATATCTCCATCATTCCCATAATCCCACTCAAACGGTTATCTAAACCATTAAGATTAAAAAATAAAAATAGATATATCATCTCTGAACCATATCTCTGAACCATTTTAATTTTTAAACAAAAACAATTTTTACCCAATATCATCCCTTTGACCAACCAATCATCTCCCTCTTTTATTTAACCTAGGCCCACGCCTATATCTTAAAGCCAACTAAATTTATTCTGAAAACTCAATTTCCCATTATACTTTAACCTTTTATTTAATTAAACCCCTATATTTCCTCTTTTTCTAAACCCGCATGTCCAATTAAAAAAGCAATACCCTATTTTTTTTCGCCAACCAATAGACACTTTCATCTTTCTCATCTTTTTGTTTGTTCCAAACCCACAGTTGTTTCCTTAAACTGCCCTCATTGCTCGATTCTTCAGTCACACCAAGATTATACCATCTGTCGCATACTGTCATCGTCGAACCTCATCATAAACGCTCATATTAAAAAAAACAACAGATTGCCAGACTCAAAGGTTACTTATTATTCTTCTTATTTTTTTTATTCTGTTCGAATGTATGTATTTTTTTCTGATCGGTTACAAATAAGCCTTTTAGTTTTTTTGGATGTTTTTATACTCGAATATACTTTTTGATGTTTTTTATTTTGGTGTTCATCTTATAACTGTTAATATTCATGTCAACAGTGTCAATTATCAAATTGAGAATTGGTGATTTTATCTTACTCCAATGGGTTACAATTCTAATTGAAGAATCCAGGTGCAATTGTTCTTTTCATATACTTATTTATTAGAATTTAGAATTGGTTTGCGTTTACTCCTTGAATTTTGATGAGATGTTGCCTAAGAAACATTTGTCTGGAAGTGAAAAAAGAAAAAAAAGGAAACGAGAGGAGGAGTTAAATAAGTCACAAAAAGGTGCTCTAGATAAATTTGTGTTTAAAAAGAAAAATGATGATTCTCATGAAACTTTGAATCAATCAACTGAAAATTTGCATACTAAAATTCCTGGAAATTCTGAAAATGTGAATGATGAAGTGAATGATCCAATTGACTTTAATGATGTGTCAATTGATGAAAATATTGAAAATTTAGGCATTGGTGAATAAACACTTCCTCATTTGAATATATATGATCCTATAAATTGGAAGAATCTTGACAATAATGCGAGAGATATATTAGTTGAAAAAGGGCCCATAAGAGAAATGGATCTTGAATTTCCTGTTGATAAATATTATAGACATTTCTCATATGAATGTTATTCTAGAAAGTTGAGCAATGGTGAGACTAGTGATAGAAAATGGTTAGTTTATTCCAAAAATGTTGACAAAGTATATTGTTTTTGTTGCAAGTTGTTCAAATCGATTAGTAATGTATGTTTGTTAGCAAATGATGGCTTAAGTGATTGGAAACATATTAGCCAAAGGCTTAAAAACATGAAAATAGTGTTGAACATATAACTACTATGAATACTTGGAATGAATTGAGAGTAAGATTGGATAAAAATCAAACAATCGATAAAAAATTGCAAAAAGAGATTATGAAAGAGAAATAGCGTTGGAGACAAGTGTTACAAAGAATATTATCAGTTGTGAAATGTCTTGCTAAACATAATCTTGCATTTCGAGGATCCAATGAAAAACTATATCAAGATAACAATGGTAATTTTCTAGGATTGATTGAAATGATTGCAGAGTTTGATGTGATTATGCAAGATCATGTTAGACGTATTCAGGATCGTGAAATTCATTATCATTATCTTGGACATAAAATTCAAAATGAGTTCATTTCCCTTTTGTCTCAAAGTGTGAGAAATTCTATCATTAAGATCATTAAAGAGGCTAAATATTTTTCCATAATTCTTGATTGTACGTCTGATGTGAGCCATCAAGAACAAATGACCCTTATAGTTCGATGTGTTAATATATTAAATAACAAAGTTAAAATTAAGGAGTTCTTTTTGGAGTTTCTAAAAGTGGATGATACATCTGGATTAGGACTCTTTAATGAACTACAAAATGTTTTGAAGTCTCTTGATCTTAATGTTGATGATGTGAGGGGACAAGGTTATGATAACGGTTCTAATATGAAAGGACAACACCAAGGTGTTCAAAAAAGATTTCTTGAAATTAATCCAAAAGCATTATACATGCCTTGTGCTTGTCATAGTCTAAATCTCACTCTTGGTGATATGGCACATTCTTGTGTTAAGGCTATTTCTTTTTTTGGAGTTGTTCAACGTATATATACATTGTTTTTGGGTTCTACAAAGAGATGGAAAATTTTACTTAATAATGTTCCTGGATTAACTGTGAAATATTTATCAAATACTCGATGGGAGAGTCGAATTAAAAGTGTCAAAGCTATTAGATTTCAATGTCCCCAAATAAGATTGGCTTTGTGTGAATTATATGAATCTTGTGAAAATGATGCAAAGTCAAAAAGTGAAGCTGAAAGTTTGGTGAATGCACTCTCAAGTTTTGAGTTTTTGCTTGGTGTTGTGATTTGGTATGACATTTTATTTGTTGTTAATATATGGTAAGCAAGAAATTACAATCTAAGTCTATGTGCATTGATACTACCATAAGACAATTAGAAGGTGTGATGTTATCCTTTGAAAAATATAGATATGAAGGATTTACAACTAGTATGAATGTAGCTAAAAGTCTTGCACTTGAAATGGATGTGGAACCTATCTTTCCCACAAAACGTCGTGTGATTAGGAAGAAATTTTTTGGAGAGAATAATGAGGATAACGAAGTTGAATCGCCTGAAGAGTCATTTAGAGTCAATTATTTTTTTGGTTGTGGTAGATATGGCTATTACTTCTTTGAAGAATAGATTTGAGCAATTGAAGACATTTGAAAGTATTTTTGGATTTTTATATGATTCAAATAAGTTAAATTCATTAGACAATAATGAGTTGAAAGAATGTTGTGCTCATTTTCATTCTATCTTTTCTCATGGCAATTCATCGGATGTTGACTTAGATGATCTTTTCTCTGAATTAAAAGTCTTACAAATGACTTTGCTGACAGAATTGTTATCCGCCACTAAAATTCTTAAGTTTGTCAAATCTGCAGATTGTTATCCAAATGTTTCAATTGCTTATAGGATTTTATTAAACTGTGCCTGTGACTGTAGCTTCAGCCGAAAGAAGTTTCTCAAAGCTTAAATTAATAAAAACGTACTTGAGGTCATCAATGTCACAAGAAAGGTTGAATGGTTTAGCAACATTAGCTATTGAGAAGGAGATGATAGGAAACATTGATGTTGATGTTATTATCAATGACTTTGCATCTCAAAATGCTAGAAGAAATCGTTTATTATGAGAATTTATGTACGTAATAGAATCTACTCGTATAATTTTTAATGAAAAAATTTGTTTGACGTTTACCGAAATTTATTTTTAAATTTTAAGTTATTTTTTTAAGGGCCCTTATCTCTTATTTTGCCTAGGACCCTTAAAATGTCAGGACCGGCCCTGTTTAGATTGTTAATGTTTAAAGTCGATAAGTCAATATTTTCTATAAAAAAAAGTATCAATTATTTGTTAGGATTACATTCAATTATTAATAAAAAATAAATATAAATGGTATTGGTAATTAAATATCTACTACAAAAAGTGAATTCCATATCTGTGACCGTCATTACCGTATTCATTGTTATTTTTTTAAATATAATCTCGTGACTTTTCACTGCACTATTTGTTATTACTGTTTTCTAGTTCACCTAATTAACGTGCAAACTAAAATCAATTTCACGTGCACCCTTTAAGAGTATTTTGATTTCTTTTGATGGTTGAGTTTAGTAAGCTCCTAAACTGTTGGATTGAATGTTTCAAAACTTTTTCTAGAATAGAAAATTCAAAAGTTTCAAAACCTTTCTGAGGATAAGAAATTAGGTAGACCGCTTTGAAATTATGTTTTCAAGGTATGTTTTGGTGCTAATAAGTTATAAAGAAAAACAACTAAAAGGTTCAAAATGGTAGAGTTTCTTATGTTTTTTTTTTCTTTTGCCAAGTGTCGACCTTCACTCTAAATAGCAACAAGAGTTGAGTTTAATCTCGGCCTATTCTCTTTTGTGTTACCCCGAAAGAGTTTAACAAAAATTTACCTTTCTGTTATCAGTAAACACATTATTTTTTTAGGGTATTACCAGTAGACATTGGGGGGTTTTTTCCCCAGAAAACACCAACGAGCTATTTCTTGTGAAACCGAACCCTCTTGAAAAGAGAGAAACGAAGAAAAGGACGATACTTATCCTAACCGACCTTAGAAAACAAAACTGTACCCCTTCCCTGCCAAACTAATCAACTTTCTTTCCAACAGAAGACATCAAAAGA